CCATAATCAGATGCCCCAGGTGATGGATTTCGTATAGATGTCTTCTATGCTTTCGCAAGGAAAAGGATGTTAAACAAGTGTACTTGCAAGACGTTTGATTTTATAGTGCAGACAGGAAGGGGTCACGCAGTGAGTTTACAGGGGATCACGCAGGTAATAACCACAAAACGCGGAAGCTTACGCATCTGCACTGGGTTCCTATAGGACCAGCGCCAGGAGGCCAAGTCTGCGCCGGAGTCTGCGGAGGCGGCTTCTACAGAAAACACCACTATTGTGTTGCGCGGTTCACCGACCTCGCCTAAAAATTTAGCGACACAAATATTAAGTACGGTGCTTTCTTAGTAATTTGCCAGGGAAAGCATTTAGAAAGATGGACTAAAGTTAACGTGCGTATTAAAATGACACAAAAATGTGGGCCAAAAATCTTTTACTGATTGACATTCTAAGTAAACTGTCGAGAGGAGGAAACTGTTCGGAGGGGCCCAACGGCTAGCATGGAAGCAGCAAGTAGCCGCGCCCATAATAGGCTATCGATCGGCCTATGCGCGAGCTAACACATTCTGCTAGACAATCAATCAATAGTTTGAATTTTTAGCTACATTCACTCAATGAGCCATACAGCCAATGGGACTGGCCACTACCTCTGGAGAGAATCTTATTGGCTCAAGGGACATCGTTGACATACGTTTGTTTTCCTAAATTTGTTGTACATAGAACACTAAAGGACTTCTGCCGTTGCACCCTTCTTGTCATGTTCTCTCTTTGGTGACTCACACAGGACGTCATTGGGCAGCAATATCTCGGCCTCGGCATCCGTTACAACAGAAACAGCAGGATAAAAAAATTCAAACTAGTTACTGCTGACTCCTAGGCTGGTGTTTATAACAAAGGGTCAGATTTCACTTGCAAGTGGGAGTTATTTTAATAATAAACAGCTGCTTTAACCTGTGCACGTCATAGAAAGATAGGCATTGCGACAAAATGCATGATTGCAGAGCCGAGAAAGCAGGCGTGCTTACCATAGCTGCCGAGAGCAAATACGGAGTCACCAGAGGTGAGGAGAGTGAACTGGCAGCGAGGCTGCTGCATGCCCGCAAGATTTGTCTACTGGCCGCGCAGAATCCTGGCATTTGGCGGGTTGAAAAGCTCCACAGTGTTTAAGCGACGACCTGGACCATCCGCTCCGCCGGCGATTATGAAGCCTCCCCGAAAGATGGTGGCTTCCAGCTCGCTGCTGCCTGCCAAATGTCAGCAGTGCGCGCACTGGTTGCCACCGTCTCCCAGTCTGCACCCAGATTTATATGATGTGCTTATGTGAAAGGTGAATCTATTTTGCGATTTTTGGTTATGAATAGGGAGCTCAAGGGTGAAAGCCTTCTACCCTTAATAAAGTGACTTAAAGGTGACAATACTCCACTGAGGCCAGGGCGCCGGAGGAATTGTATCCACCAAAGACAAACATGCGACAGTCGCCGGGCTGGCAGGAAGCAGCTGGCACCCATGCCCTCGCCTTTTGCATGTCCGGCAGGCTGTACCATCTGATGAGAAGCGAGAGATACATTAGTGAGTGAAGCGATTGATTAAGAGAAACAAACAAAGAAGAAGAGTAATAAAGATGCACCGCACACAAAACGGCGACTCACCTGTCCCGAGTGACATCGTAGACTTCACAGGATGAGAGGTGGTGTCTTCCATTATATCCCCCCAAAACGCCAAGCAGCGTCTGGCATGAGCCGTCCGCCTTCAGGTCTGCGGCTGCGTAATGTCTGCGTACAAAGGCGAGTGGCGCCTGCTCAGGCCAGCGCGACTCTCGCACGACAAATTCAGAGACGTGTGGTGAGCAGGGTT